CGCACATGTCACATGGCTTGTCACATGTGAGCAAAAGGGGGTTGTGTCAAAGTGTTGAATGACTACAGACAACAATGTCAGCACATCCTCCCCCACAGGGACCTCTTGAATCACAAATTTACTTTTGTATGCAAAATGTGATGGATATGACAAAATTATTGTATGTGTATATAGGTTTTCAAACTGCTGAAGCCCGAGCTTGCAAAAAGGCTGACATTGTTTATTTAGCGAAATGCCTGCTGAAAGACATTGTTCCAAGGTTTGGAATTCCACAGACCATCAGTTCAGACATTTCACTGGACAAATAATGACTGAACTGTAAATCCCATCTAAAGGGCTGAAAGACAAAATCGATTCTGAAATACAAACTAGCTAAGCATCTCTGCTCCTCTTCAAAGGAGCAGAGATGCTACACAGATAATCAAGTCCCAGAAGCAGACGTAAGACACCTACAGTCATCAGAAGAGCAGAGGAAAGTCATTTTTCAAGTTATTTTTAACGAACAGAGAAATACAAATACCAAGAGGGGAAGACACCTACTGCTTTTGAACCCTAAACAAACACCTACCCCCATTATCAAAAATGGTAACTGATGATAGGCCAAACCCTAAGATCTTTTGTGGATTCATCCCACACATTATCAAGAGACGGACTCACAGCTTTGCCTATCACTGCGTAGGGCCCTGCAATTTACGCCCCGTCTCCCCCTTCTGTGTCAAAGTGGGTGTCAGTGTTTCGATTTAAATGAGAGGATGAAGTGGAGCTATCTTTCTGGTCACGAGAAGAGGAAAAAAACACACCATGAGAGTGAATTGTGGGAACAACCATCAGCTAAACTTGTGTAGACCTACTCTCCTCTCCATGTTTGATGCCAGACTCATCAGCAAATAACATAGTAAGTAACGTTAATATATGGGCTTGATGAATGATGACACTTCACAAAAATTGCAGATGGAGAGACACATGCTCATAGAATGAGCTGATACTACCAATCCCTCCACCTCTGTCTAACTGGTCGTGTGTTTGAGTGGAGTCAGATGTGCAGGAGTCAGGTCAACAGCTACCAGCCATCATCGTCATCCTGCTCTGCTTCATATACCTGGTTTTCTCCTCAATGCCCCTCCCTCCCTTTGTTCCTGTCCCACAACCCTATAGTAGAGACTTTGGCTCCTGCAGAGCCTTCTTGACCCAGTGCTCCATATGTTTGAACTGCAGTTCATATACTGCATTCATATGCAACTGAATGTTTCTGTGTTTCTGTACTCTGGCCATTGAGAGTGGCTGGAAGGACGAGGCACTTCAGGGTGTCTTCCAGAATTCTTTAAATGATGCCATTTAAGATGAACTAGTCTCCCATGATGAACCCACCTATCTTGAAAGATTAATTTCCATGGCAATCCGAATTGACAATCTGTAAAGAAAGAAATTCTAAATTGCATTCTTTCCCAGCCTCATCAGTCTCCTCTCAACGGCCACTCTGGCGTTTTCCCGAGCCTTGCTGAACCCTTCCCAGCAGCCCTGAGCCTGCGCCCATGCAATTAGGTCAAGCTCGTTTGACTCCAGAGGAGAGGCCCAGTCCAATCAGCCATTTTCTCTTTACCTGCCCAGTTCGCCAAGAAAAAGAGTCAGCTCGCCTGTAATGGGAGAGATACATGTGAGCCAAATTGCCAGTTTTTCTCCCCCTCGGTTACAGCCATCTGTCTCTCTCGTCTGCCGTTCTCAGTCCCTACACCTCACTGCCCTCATGGATTTCGGAGCAGATGAAAATTTCATGGACCATAATGTAGCAGTACAACTGGGAATTGAGGTTGAAAACCCCCTTGAAGCAAAGGCTGCCAAGCCCCCTGAATGGAGTCAGGTTTGTAGGAGTCAGGTCACCAGCCATCATCGTCATCCTGCTCTGCTTCATATACCTGGTCTTCTCCTCAACACTCTGCCAGATTGTAGACTCTGTTTTCACAGTCAGTTACATATGCAGCCGTAAAGATTTTGCTTCTTTGTTTCTGCCTGATCATTAATCTTTGTTCTCCTCTGCCTGCAGTTCCCCTCCTGACTCCGACATTATGTCCTGTCTCGTCTGCTGTCTCATTTGGATTTTTGCTCTGAAAAACACCATTCTTTAGACTGCTTCTCCCTTCACTGGACCCCTCCAAGCCCCGGTCACCTGGTTCTACTCAGCTTTGTTGTCAACTTAATATAACATCCTCATAACCGAAACATTCCATCTCAACCAAGTGGTGAATAAACTTGTGAATTTGCTTAGTAAGTCTCTTGTTTCTGTGTTTTGCACTTTGGGTTCTAAACCTTAATCTTGGATTGTACATCTGACTTTAGTTACCAGGAGCAATTATCCATTATTCAGAGAAGTATGGCTTTACAGGAAACGCTGGAGATCAAGGAGCACTTCTTTGTAAATGTAAAGGTTACAACTGGCTTGAATTTGTCCACTGTCATCGTAGATGAGCTGAATATTCCATCTGAAGATTGCAAGCTTATGATAATGGAGGCAACATGAAGGGGAAACATAAAGGAGTACAAGCCAGACTACTCAAAACAATCCCATAGCAGTGCTCGTACTATGTGGAGCACATACATACCTTGTCATTGCAGATAAAGCTTCAAAAGATGCAGTTGGGTTTTTTGGGCACGTTCACAAGCTCTTCACCTTCTCTTCTGCTGGCACACAAACATGGAGTGTCCAGAAGAAGCACATCTGTGAAGTCATGGAGTGACAGAAGATAGGAGTATTGCAGTCATGTATCAGGCTCCTGAGATTCAGGAGGCATTACTAGAAGCAAGGCAGACGATCGACGATCCTGTTGGCACAGTGGAGGCACGATCCCTTGCAAATGAAGCTGGATTACACCAGTTCTTAATTTGGTGTGAGATCCTGACAATTAACAACCAGGTGAACAAGCTTTTGCAATCCACCTCAATGCAGATGGATATAGCAGTGAATTTAATCAGAAATGCAAAGGCTTCCCCATACACTGGACTCTCTGAGGCCCAGACAACAGCCAAAATCATTTGTGAAGAAATGACTGTGAAGGCTGTTCTGAAAGAGAAGGGACAGAGAAACAGCTAGAGACATTTCAGCTATGAGGCTCCTGATGAACCAGCCACTGAGAAACTAAAAAACCTTGAAGTCAGCTACTTCAACAGTGTGGTTGACTCTGCTGTGACATCCATGGATGAGAGATTTGAAACACAGTGTGAATGTACCCTCTACCAATGTACTCTGCTGAACTTCAACAGTGCCTCCCAGATGCCCATTGAATCTTTAATGGTTCACTGCATGGTAGTTCAAAAAAGACTACCCTTTAGAGATGACTGTGACATCAGTGGAATAGATCTGGCACACGAGATTCAGAATTTACCTGATCTGCCATCAGGTAAGATGACTGCATTTGAGCTGCTTTCCTTTCTCTGTGAAAAAGATCTGGAGGGACTGTATCCTAACCTTTGGATAGCCATTAGAATTGCAGTCACACAACCAGTGATGGTAACATCAACAGAGACAAGCTTTTCAAAGTTAAAGCTCATCAAAAGATAGCTGAGGTTTTCCATGTCACAGGAACCTTTGAGTGGTCTGGCCACTATGAGCATACATTAGGAAATGGGGAAACACATTTCTTATGTTGACATCATTGATGATTTTTCCTTAAAGTGCAGAAGAGGAATATTTTGAAGGTAAGATTTTAATTCACACATTTACACACTTAGTAACAATTAAAATTATATGGAGAAGTGCATTTCTGTCGAAGCTGCTTACATGTAACATACTTTCTCAGTTTCGTCCAGACAGTCCAGGCTGATACTGAAAATTCCCAGGCTGTAGAGGCAACCAAAGCTAAGCACAGTGCTGTATAGGTTTTATTTGATATATATATACATGTATATGTGTACTTATTCTAAGACCGACAGATGGAGCAAACTGTTTAAAAGGAGGGAGAATTGTAGTGGGGGTCAGGTGTGACTGTGTGGCAATGGTGAATGGTTTACATGGTTCACAGGTCAAAAGAATTTTGCTTAGGGCCCCAGGGAGATCAGGACTGGCTCTGTGTTGGGGGACAAAGAAACCTTTTCCCTGTGACTGTACATACGCTTCATCAGAATAACTAATTGTGGAGTCCAATAGAAATGTGCCTCCAAGACAATGTCCATCAACCAATTCTACTGATGATTACGACCACCTTGCCATAATGATGAATCATTGCTTGATACCACTACCTAAGGGTGTATACTGAATATACATGCTACAATGTAAGCTTATGAATTTTCACCAAAAGGATGGTCACCTGAGGTTCACATTGTCAAAAAGGACACAACCACCTTGGACAATATTTTATAGTGCTCTCATGGCAGCTTTTGATCAAATAAGACTTTCACATGCAATTGAAGATCTGGCAAATTCTACTACAAAAGGAATGTCTGTACTCTCACAAGAAAATTATGCAAATAAATTATGGCTTCTAAATATAAAAAATAAAAAAATAAAAATACATTTTGCCTCTCAAGGTGGAACATGTGATTTCACTGGAAACTGATTGTTGTCCTTTTCCTGACCACTATGTTACCATACAAGAAATATAGAACCATTTGAAAAATCTTGCAAATATGTTACATAACCCTACATATTAATCTCGTGAACACTGGTTTCTGTAGAAACACTACCGCTTCTGTCCACAGGGTCCCGCCACAATCAACAAAATGTAAGTTCCTTGTAGGGGCTTAAAATATATGTTTTGTTTTTTTAATCATTGGAGTAACTTCCCAAGCCAAACATTTGCTGGTTCCACCTTCTCAAATGTGAGCATTTGCTGCTTTTCTTTAAATAAAATGTTAATGAGTGTTTTGTGGTTTTGCAATGTTGCTCAAGCAATTTGCATACACCATCTTGGACTCTGGAAAATATGCATTCTCACTATTTTCTGACATGTTATGGACAAAACAAATAATTCTTTAAACAAGAAAATAATCAGTGCTGAAAAAAAGTCAACTTGTAGCTCTAATTCAGTTTTATTTTGGTAGAAAGTCATGGAATATTCTCTGAGACACCACATACACCACTTAGCAGTAAACCCCTGCAAACATACACATAATTAAATAATTACATTTCTATTCATGATTATCTTTGTGGGATCTGATCATGACAGACAATCCTTTTACTGCTGATCAGTCGATATGTATGTAAATCAATAAATATACATAACACAGAAATGTACATCATATCAAAGGGGGTGAGTATTGATAGAACAGTACTTACAAGATGAACCTATAAACCAAAATACCAGACAAACCCTATAAGACTGTATATGAGAGACATATTTAAAAAAGAATACACATCAAACTGTAAGGCCATTGATGTTTTTAGCTGCTCTGAGTGCAGACTTCATTGCAGTTTCAATCCACCCATGCGGTGTGGCTGTGTGTTCTCCTGCAAAGTGCACCCGGCCCTCACTCTGGAACAGTTCTCTGGCATAGTGTCCCTTCTGGTAGGGTGTGAACAAGGCAAATGCTCCCAGACTGTAAGGATCTAAGCCCCACTTCTTCACCACTCCCCCTGTCCACAGAGGCCTGATATAATCTCCGTGGATCTTCACCAAGTCCTCCAGGACCACAGCCATCAGCTCCTCCTCGCTCATCCCTTGGAACAGGGTGGAATCATCGGAGCAGGTGTAAGATGCGAGGAGGGCCCCCGCGGCTGTGCCGTGGAAGCTATGGCTGGGGTAGTAGATGAAGCGGGAGGGCCGGTCTGTGATGCTCTTCCCTCCTTTGATGCCTTCTTTCTCCCAGAACCGGTCCCTGAAACTGAGTACCACCTTGGTGGAGCTGGCGTAATGAACTGAGCGCAAAGCCTCCATCTTGTCCCCGGAGAGAGGTGGCTGGAAGTCAATGAAGAGGGCAGCTTTCGCTGTGGCCGTGACCAGGGCATAGTCAACTGTTAGGTTGGTCAGGGAGCCTGGAGTACGCCAGTCCTGGTATGTTACAGTCACATTGTTGCCGCCGGTTTGGTTGATTAGCTTGACCTTGGAGTTGAGGAGGATGGTGGCATTTAAAACCTGGTAGAACGCCCTCGGGAGGTGGTCAAAGCCATCTGTCACTTCAAAATACCTGAAAGAAAACCCCCATTGAAAACCTTCTAATCACAATACATCATTAAAGCTGCAATGGATCAAATGACCCTTCCTAAGCCCTGCTCCCTTTTTAGAACCTCAGTCAACTTTCTCCTGTCCTGTATTTAGATATGCTATGTGCTAGGCTAGTCTATACTGAAAACACGATAGATAAAAGCGACATATACAGTCACATCTTAAGTTAGCTAATGCTAGCAAAACACTGGCTAACTCGCTAACTAATCTACATAAATCGTTATCTAGCTAATGAGATAATCAGTGGTAAGCCAAAGTTAGGTCTGCAGACTCACATGATGAAATGGTCGAGTGAATATACTTACTCAGTGTTGTCATTGATGTCCGACTGTATGTACAGCATTTCTATCAATGACATGTAGAAGAGGCTGTTTTCATTCAGGATGTCCCCGACCATCCTCAAGGCACCACGACTCAGGTTGCCCTCCTTCACTAGATATTCCTGTCAGCAATCAAATGTAAACTGTTAATTATATACAGTAGTAATGACATTTTCCATCCAGCTTCAAACTATGACCCGAGTCACATGAAGAAATCCTTACCTTCACTGTGTAGGAATCATATTTATCCAACATGGCACTGCAGCCGACTGCCTTCAGGTCATCCCTCACCTGTGCACAGATGACAATGCTTGAGAGAATCCTTGTGCAATAAATAAATATGAATGGGCACAAAAATAATAATTATACTATCAATGTGTGAAATGTGTACAAACCTTCCAGAGTGCTTGACTGAAGAGTTGAGCAGCTGACTTCCCCCTCTCTCTTTCATTTAAGCTGTAGTTGAGCACACCGGGGTTGTCTTCCACAGCATAGGTTTTCTGAAGCACCCCATTTACCAGATAGTAGGTGTTGATGTCATCTTGGATGAAGTGGTTTAAGGAAATTTTTAATTTGGAGACAAAAGACAGCAGAATCCTGTGGAATAGATACTATATATTACCATATCTTTTTAAGGAACACCAATGCTGATTGAAGTATTTACATAATTTATTTAAAGCTGCATTAGTTGATGTTTTGCCACTTGGGGGCAGTGCAATAAGCTGTAAACTCAATATTGACACATTATCACCTTAAAATTGAATGTGATAGCAAACAGTTACCAAATTACATGAACATGAAGTCATGTTTCTGGCCACCTGACAATTGGAATCCATTTTTATACTTTTAGCAATCCCTGAGTCAAATAACTTGATGTTCAGCCACTAAATGGTCCACTATGTTTACCAGGTAGTTGCTAACTTTAACTTTGTGTTGTTTGGTGCTGGGCAGGTAGTTCACAGTGCGTTTAGATGGCTAAAAACAGCGCTAATATGTGTGAGACTGAGCCAAAACACCATTTGAAAGTTGGGTGATAATTTTCTGTAGGTTTGTTTCTGCGAGTGACCCCTTTCACATTACACATAGTCATTTGATCATCATTAATGTATAATATTGATAAGAGTAGCTTTCAGTAGGAGTGGCAATATCCCACTGTAAAACACTCAGTTACAAGTAGCTATACGTAACTGACCCCCCAACTAAGTCCCGAACAAGTGCCTTTAATCATTATCAGTCCTGATGTCCCTTTCATCACTGTACTCACTTATGAAAGCTGGGGATCCTCATAGCGCCCATTTCTGCATACCAGCCTTCTGTTATTTTCCTGAAGGTCTCTACACGTCCTCCAATACGGCCACTGGCTTCTATTATGGTCACCTTGTTGTCCATGAGACACGTTTAATCATCATGTTAAATGCACTTGTTTGACAGTAAGTATCATCAGTATCCACTCAGAAAAAGGATGTTTAACCATCATCTACTCACTATAAATTAATTTACCTTATGTCCGGCATCTTCTAAAAACTTTGCAGCGGTCAGTCCAGCAATGCCCCCGCCGATGATTGCTACGTGGCGGGGTGTCTTAGTGGCAGGAAGTCCTCTGTCCACAATGTTGAGAAGCTCGCTGTAGTCAGTGTCTTGGAGGCACTCATACAAGGGGTCTCCAAAGATCCCACTCACAGTGAACACCACAACCCCGACTAGAACCAGGGGAACTGGCGAGGAAGAAAATATCGATTCAAGTGGCGGATTCAAAGCATCATGAGAGAAAGAAGAAGAAGAAGAAGAAGAAGAAGAAGAAGAAGAAGAAGAAGAAGAAGAAGAGGGATTGTTTCAAACTTTGAAAGTCTCATTCTCAGGGTCTCATTCTCAGGGTCTTTTGCACTTTTTGCACATTAATACTGTACATTGATCTTGTATATATATAGTTATATATATATAACTATATATATATATAGTTATATATATATACTTATATTTTTTGTGCTGAATGTTGTTTATATATATGTCGTTTGTATATCTGGAGTGTTGTAAATAATTTTCCCCTGGGATTATTAAAGTATTTCTGATTTTGATTCTGATTCTGTCCCAAAATGTCTGTATTTTACGCCCTGGGAATAAGACCCAGCAATCAACTATTTTTCTTGGCTCTGATTGGTTGTTTTCATTCAGGCCCGGTGAATTCTTGCAAACGTCATTAGCAGCTCTAGGAGAAGCCAGAGGATCCTAATTTTTTCACAGATTATCTGTCTCATCTACTACTGTCAAGATATAATGAAAGTTTCAGCAAATATGACAAAAAAGTTTTTATAAAAATGACCTACTGCAGCTTTAAGTACAATTTGCTGGTCTGTACTTTAACTCAAGTGTGGTTTAATTCAATGCAGGATTTTTACTTATAATGGGTTTTTATATAATTAATTCATTGGTACTTGTATTTAAAAGACCAGTGTGTAGGATTTAGTGGCATCTAGTGGTCTAGTTGCAGATTTCAACTCCCTTGCTTCACCTTCCCCTTCCAAGTGTGAAGGAGAAACTCTGAAAAAACGTCAGTGTTTGGTTTGTCCATTTTCCATCCTTAGTTATGCATATTATATTCCATTTCTGCCAATAGATCCTCCTAAATGTCACACACTGGACCTTTAAGTGTCCCCTAGAATATTTTCACTGCTTTACCTTTACCTACAGTGTACACTTAAACTGATATTGCCTTGATTCAAGTGGCTAACATACTATCTTCTGCTGACCCCATGCACAGCTCTCCATAGCTTGGCTTCCATGCCAGTCCTCCTGTTTGCTTGCACTGACCACCATCTACTGTAGGTCACAATGCATAAGTACCTTACACAAACCCACTTAAAAAAAAACCCAACTGTATTCCTGTACATGGAGTATGCTGATGCTGGTCACTGAGCTTTACCAAACAAAATTGTGTTGCCTGCAATGACAAATAAACAGTCTTATGTTTCATGGTGGTCACTAAGCAACCAACGTCCAGTTTCCCTTCTTTACTGCTGAGCTTACAAACATAACCAAATCACATCTCTAAGCATAATTTAGGGTTTATGACAAATCACATAAAATATACTATCATACTGCATTTTCACAATAATCCACTTGTATTGCATAATCAGTCCTCCCTACCATTATGCACATTTTATTATTTAGTTAGACGTCAAATATTCATTTTATAATTAATTAAATTACAATAGCAGCATCAGGCCTTTAATTATTAAATTAAAGTATGATGTAATAGTGGTTTGTTTAACACTTACAGAATTTACACAGGGCCATGTGAGGGATCATCTTGAGGATGGAGTTCCACAGTCTGGACTTCTTCCTTCTGCTGTTGATACAGACACTATGAGAGGAAGAGGAAACCTACCAAAGGCAGGTGTGTGACAAGTTCAGTGGGAGACACATTGGGCAGTATTATCATAAACAAACAGAAGTCTGTCAAACTGAATGTTGAATTCAAAACTTTTCCTATAAACACAGAAAAAATACATTAAAATTGGTACACACGATTAATCATTGCAAATAATTAGTGAACATGCATAAGTAAATGATCTGAAATTAGAAGAGAAACAGCAGCAGCTCAGGCTAGACTATGATTCTACTCACCTTTAGCAAAGGTAATGTCTCGTAAGTTGTTGTAAGTCTATGCATGACTGAGGAGAAATGACACAGTCCCTCATAAAGCTAGACTCTCAATGCTGTCTCTCCATACGAAAGCAGCCTGGAAAACCTGGAAGCGTGGTATGTGTGAAATTGCACACAACGTAATTTTAATGAGGGGACTGTGTGGCTCCTCAGGTCTTCCAGAAATATTTTCCCACACCGGCTCGAGAATCAACCACACTGAACAAATCAGATTAGTGAGGTTATACTAGTCATCAGCATACCTCATTTCCTCCATCTTCACTCATTTCAATATCTGAGCTGAAAGTGCTCATTCAGTGGAGTCCAAAAATGCCAAAAGTCAAACTTTAAAAAGCTGCATTCTAACCTAAAGCTGCACTGCAGTACAGTAAATATGACAAAACACAAACTTATAACAGAGTAGGAACACTTTATAATAAAGGACACAATAGTAAGAACCAAGGCACGAATGAGTTCACTGCTAGTGAACTATTAGGTAATGAGTAACTCCTAGTCAAATTGGATAGATTAGCTAATGATTAGTTAATTAAGAAATAGTTAAGAATAATAATGGAGGACTATGTAGTACATAATGATGAGTTACTAGAGAACAGACTAGGAGTGTCTGTATTAATGAATCATTAGGTAATGATTAGCTACCTTCATTGGAGAACATCACTGCGTATCTGTATATGACAAAAATATTGAATAAATTATGAATTTAATTAGTTTTTTATAGTTTTTGTAAATTAAGCATTTTGTTAAAGATTGCAACTAACAATTAAAAAAGAAAACCATGACAGAGATGGGTTTTAACTCATTAACTAATGGTTCACTCATTTGTTCCCTGGTAAATACTCAAAATGTTGTGTCCCAATTTGTATTTATTAAAAAAATAGCATTTTACTACTTACTTGTATGTGTGGTCTTGAAAAAAGAAAGCAGTCCCAACTCACCCAGCCTGTTCTGAGTCCAACAGACAATGGCACATAGGTGGTGTTTATAGGCTGCAGTAAATGAAAGCAAAAGCAAGCAAGAAAAAAAAACCCAAGTTTCATTTTCCTGACAACATTAGCTGCTGCTTTGTACTTTTTGGAATTCACAATGAATACATGCTGAATAACTACTTCTGTGGAAACTGGAAGTGATTACGGACAGTATTGAGGGGAATATTAAACTGACAAAAAAAGGAACATAAAAACACATACGGGAACAGGAAATACTTCCAATTCCAACTTGTGTCAAAGCTTGATTTGGACCTGAACAATCTGGTTGCTGCTGAACAGTCTGGTGGCAATCTCAAAGAGGGAGAGGATCACCTGACCTGCCTATTGTAGCTCAGGTTACACTCTACATCACAGGTTAGAAAACTACCTAGCAATATACAGATGATGCACAGCTGAACGCAGTTCACTGAACTAATGAGGCTTTGGGAGTTAAGTCAACCATGTTAATGTATAATGTGTAAGGTACAGCTCTCGCAGCAGCCTTTGAAATCAGACAAAGGTCTTAGGAAATAAGGAAAGAGATTAAACAAAGGTCACGGATGCAACCGAACAAACTGACTTTATAGCTGTCTTCTCTTTATATAATAAAAGCCCCAAATATCTGAAAATACTTCAATAATTTCTCTGTCTGAATCATTAATTTGTGTATTATGGGCAAATGCTTGTCCAGTAGTTACAAACAGGTGTATTAATGAAATATAAGAACGAAAATAATGGAAACTATGGCCAGTATTTTTAGATATTTGATGTCTATATTATCTAAATAAAAGACAGGAAATAAGGAGATGAAACAAAAGTCACTGATACAAATTATTATTTAGTGTGCACAAGATTTAAAAAAAAAAAATCACTTTATTTAGGTGCTTTAGGGGCTCCATAAACCTGCGCTACAAGAAAGTAAATAATATTGGTCTTACATTTCCTCTGTCAGAAACATGATTTTATTCAATGGCCACTGTTTGCTAACATATTCACTCCCCCAAATTGCAAATGTAAAGAAATCGTGGGAAATACTGCAGACCTGATCGCCTTTTTTCCTGAGAGTCAGATGAGAAAATCAATAGCCCTCTCATGTCTGTGTGTTCAGTATAGAGCTGGAGCCAGGGGCAATTAGCTTAGCTTAGCATAGATAATAGGAGCAGGGGGAAACAGCTAACCTGGTTCCTAACCTAACCTAACCTAAGTTCAAAAGCTTAATTAATAAATTAGCTTAATTAACACACCTCTTGTTTAATCTGTACACAAAGTGCAAGTAATTATAGGCTACTGCACCACACAACAACAAATTGTCATTTTTACATTCCCGTTTCTGTATAAATTAAACAAAAGAAAATGTGTTAGCGAACTTTAGTGGTGTTCACAAGCCTTCCTAAACCCCGCCCCTTTTTGGTCTGTGTTGAACAGTTGAGCAAGCCTCTGTCATCGTTCTCCTTTACCAAATATGCTATGTGTTTGTCTATGTTGAAAGGTTAGCTAGCTAGTTTGGTGGCTAGTTTACCAAGGTTACAAAAGGGTTGGGACATAGGAAGGGTCAATTTTTTTAACTTTGGAGGGAGCTAACTGTTTGTGGTTGCTTCCAGTGATTGTGCTAGTCCCCTGGCTCCAACTTTATAGGTTACTTAGCATGCAAACATCAGAATGATATCTTCTTATTTCACTCTGAGAAAAGTTTATTTTCCAAAATGTCAAGATTGTCTCATAACCAATGTCGTGTTCAATGAACAGTTTTTTTGTGTTTTGGCGGCATCATGCGCTAGCTTGTTTTTCAGACCCAGAAGTCAACAACCCAGGTTATGGAGTGACGCAGGAAAACTGCATTCTTTGTAAAGCCAGCAGGGAGAGCTCCATTGGCTGCAATAACACACTCTAATGGAGAATGAGCCAACTTCTCACTTGATTTATGAGCACAGTAAACAGTTTCTTAATGTGTTTATGGTCTCAATGGCTAGTTTCATGTCTTCTTCAATACACCATGATGTTCATTTAGTAAAGGATGGTCCCATTTAGAGTAAAATAGACCATAAAGCAGGTACGCTCTCATTCTCAGTGAGTCCGTCCAGCTCAACACACCGAACTCAGATCAAACTGTCAAACTAGGCAGTGCTGATCAGATATGGATCAAGATTCTGTTACTGTGTTCACTATTTCTCACATAACTTTTGAACTTAAGGTGATGTCACGATAGGTTCACAGGGTGGAACAGAGCCTAACTTTGTAGCAAGCAAGCTGTTTGTGCCTGCCAGTGTTTTATGCTAAGCTAAGTGAATCATTTCCTGGCTCCAATCCTGTATTTAGCACATTTCTTTCTTTTTATACTCTTTACTCTAAAAGAAAAGTGAAATTGTCACGATAGTTTTATCAAACTAATGACTGGGTGTTCAATTAAGTTCTGTTGTGTTGAGAATTTAGCAGCATCATAGGGCTGCTTGTTTTTCAGGACCAGAAGTCAACAACAAAGAGTTATGGAATGAGACTTCTGTCATATGAATATAGCTGGAGGTCATTTGTGCTTTGCAGATTACAGAGAGAAGACATTCTCACGCTTTGTCGAACCACTTTAGTTTCCTTTGTGTCTCTGTTGGTGTGTGCCATGTCATCGACCTGAGAAATGAAGAGTTTTCTAACTGAGTAGCAATACTCTCCTACTTATAATGGCAGCTTACAAAAACAGTGTAGAAAAATAAAGAGGTATAAATAAAATACAGTACAAGATAAACAATAAACTCTTTGCTAGATAAACAATAAACTCTTAGCTATATATAGAAAGTAGAGATAAGAATAAAAATAAAATAAGATAAAATTCAATAATTTCAAACATATTTGGAATAAAAAGAGAGAATTTACTCCAAAAACTCACTTGTACTCAAATATTTAAGTATAACTAATCCCCAAATTAATTTATCTCTTTTTGTTTGTTTTGAACAGCCTTTATCTGACATTTTAACCACTTTAAGTATTTGTACATTATAAAGCCACTGTGTGCAGGATTTTTATGTGATTGGTAGGATGATGTGTATTTTTATTCTGGTCCATAACTTTTTGTTCCTAGAACAATGAGACAGTCCCAGTGAAGGCTGGTGCAGTCAGTGCTGATTATAGTGTCACAGTGCCAGCCAAAGTGTCTTTAACCACAGTTATGCCGAGACCAAGCTTTAAAGTCAAGAAGAAGACAGTTGTTGCTGTAGCAAAACAAGTCTGATTATGTTTAGATGAATATTATTTATGGGTGGCACAGTGATGCAGTGGTTAGCCTCACAGGAAGAATGTTCTCTGTTCTGTATAGGGTGGCTAAACACCATTAGAGAGGCAGCATGACATTTTCATGTTTTGCAATTAATAGTGGTATCAGTTACCTGTGTCTGATGTTATCAAACACACACCCCTAACCTGCATGGCTTTGAACAACTTCTCAACACAGTACATACTAATCAAAAAAATACAAAAAGAAAAAATACAAAAAAAATTGTACATAAATAACAGATTAAAGCCATTTTAGTTTGCTTTGTGGCTCTGGAGGTCCATCGATCTCTCTAATCTGACTTGTTTTGCTAAAGCAACAATTGTCTTCTTCTAAATTCTTCATTTTTCAGAATGCTGAACTGCATTTCTTGAAACTTGTCAAGAACAAGTAAGATAGGCCTATATTAAAAACAAGAAGGAACTGTTTTTTTTTTTTTGTTGATTATTGCATTATTATTTACTTTTGTTTTGTATTTGAAGTATGTATTCTGTTGATTGAACATGCAGGTTAGGGGCGTGTGTTTGATTAGTCAAACGTCAGACACAGGTAACTGATACCATCATTACTTGCGCCTTTGCCTTGCAGGCATTGCTGGAACACCACCTGGTTCCACCAGTCTGTAAAGTTAAGCTGAGGTTACATAGGGACACGTTCTTAAGGCATATAAAGCTTCAGAAGGAGTCATAGTATTCCCTTTTCATAACATTGTATTTCTTTAGCTACTCAAAGCTGAGGTGAGATGGGTGGTCATACAATAACAAATTCATTAACTGTACTAGTAACACATTGAACTGTTGATGCTCTCTTGAACTCTGGAGGCAGAGAGAATGAAACCGAATTCATCAGGAAGCTACAGTTTAACAATCCACAGAGATAATGGATCTATGTCAAATACAAAACAAACAGTAGACTTTAATGTAAAAGGCACAACATTAACATGATATGTCATATTCATAAATGTGCGAATGAAGTAAAAATAATTTGAGAAAAACATGAAAATGTCATGTCTATACAGAACAGAGAACATTCTTCCTGTGAGGCTAACCACTGCATCACTGTGCCACCCATAAATAATATTCATCTAAACATAATCAGACTTGTTTTGCTACAGCAACAACTGTCTTCTTCTTGACTTTAAAGCTTGGTCTCGGCATAACTGTGGTTAAAGACACTTTGGCTGGCACTGTGACACTATAATCAGCACTGACTGCACCAGCCTTCACTGGGACTGTCTCATTGTTCTAGGAACAAAAAGTTATGGACCAGAATAAAAATACACATCATCCTACCAATCACATAAAAATCCTGCACACAGTGGCTTTATAATGTACAAATACTTAAAGTGGTTAAAATGTCAGATAAAGGCTGTTCAGAGTCTCACTCCATAACTCTTGGTTCACACTGCCTACCTGAGCAGTGCGTGATGACTACAGCTCTGAGCAGCTGCGTCCGGCACATGCTCTGTGTTTACACTGACAGCGTGCCAGCTGCTGCCAGCCCTATCTTTCTATACTATCTTTCTTTCAATAGGTTATTGAGTTTGCCTTTATAAAAGCCTTGCTAACATATGAATGGATTCTGTCTACAGAAACACCAGAGCTTTTAATCTCAAACACATACAATGTTCAGTGTCTGCCCAGAATATCTTTGTGTCAGTCCAATTCTAAAACATATGTCATATATATTTTAATCCACATAAACCACATTTATCAACACTTTAACTATACCGGTTGAACCCTTTATTAAGAGATGGCCACAAAACATTTCCCCAGGGGACGAGCCACAACTTATAGGATATTTTTGATAAATGCATTAGAACAATTTTACTAGATAATGTTTACTTAAAGTTTTTATATTATAATATAAGCATTATATTGTCCGATGTATTTTCAGTTGTGAGTTACAGTTTATAAAACATGTACACACCCCTTGGCAAAGAATTAAACACCACTATGTATCCTTAGGGTGTAACCATTGACAGTATAGGGTGTAAGTGACGGTGAATTAAATTTGGAGACAAACTCTTTATATGTCAGGTGACCATCTGCATTAAAATTTGGTCAATGCAAGTAACATTTTATCATGATGAAACAACATATCCCATGAGTCTTAGCCGCTGACAAGGCCTTGTGGAAGCTGTAGTTGTTGAATACCAGCTAAACAATCCCTGTTTTATCTTTATCTTTTTAAAGCGACATAATGTCCTAATTCTAGGTTTTTCTTTTGTTGTCAATACAATGACTCATTCTCGCGCTTCCAAAGCATCAGGGGTGCGCGGGAGCTATTTCAACATACGTCATGATACAGGAAGTAAACAAACCAGACCAAAGTGTTACGCTCACGAGACCTCTTGAGTGCCATGACAGCTCGGGCAGGTTCATTATTTTTCTCTTTTATTATAATATGTAACGTTAGCTAGGGAAAATGTATGTATAATATGAGGCCACTTTACATGTTGCAGCGTGCCCGCGATGTGTTCTTTAAATTTGTAGCCGAGCAAGGATACTAAAATGTTTGGGTCCTAGCCTAACGCCACGTATCTCTAGTAAAATATTCAGCAATTTAAAGAAGGTATGCCTATTGGCAAAGAGTGACACCTCACAAGACATTATGGAAGTCCTCAAAGAAATTGCTAGGATCCTCTCTTCATTTCGGCATCAATTTAGTACATGTAAGAGTAATGATGTAAATAATATTTGGACTTCTGTCCCCGCGCCCAGTTTTCTTCCACTGCTGATGAGCCGTAGAGGGTGGAGATGGAGAACGCGCTGTAACGTCAATTCTATCATAAAGTAGACATTATGTTGGAATATATTGCTCTAGGTCGAATAACATGTATGCCGAATGTTCTGCTGTTGCTTGTTATGGATCCAGTTAGCTCCCAAAACCATGTTTGTCGCCCGTATACACGTCATGCGACACTTAAACAGTAAATTGTCAAATTTATGAACGGGGTTTGGTTTGGCGTTTTCTCATTACATCAGATAACGGTATACAGTGCTATCATTAGTCAAACACGTACATAGCTGGTGCAGGTTATTCATACTGATACATACAGATAAACAAATAATAATTCTGCAACATAATTGTGTGGCTGGGAAGATAATCGAGCTAGTAAACATTCGTTTAGTGCATCGTGCAAACAAACGTTAGCAGCTAGCATAAAAATGTTTGGCTCTACAGTTAAATCCAATTAAATAATAAGTGGTTTATCATTAATCAGGTTTAATATCTTATATGTTTATTTGATATTGTGTTTATGTTATATGTATTAATAACTATATATATGTCTTTAGTTAAAGTACACAAACACACAGCCAGCATAAGGAGTGGTTGCTTTAAGCTGATGTAGACTCTTCTCTGCTTCTTCCTTGATGGGTAATTGCAAAGGGGTCAGTAGGGGCCCAACAATTCTTTTTTGCCCTGGGCCCTCTTTGCAGGTGAATCTGACCATGCACTCATTCTCTTTAATTTATACTGATCACATACAGCCATGCATGCAGCTCCTCTGTCTGTTTTGAATGTTGTCCCTAATCTGTACTCTCCTTTTGTTTTTCAAGGTGTGATGTTGCTCTGGCCTGCATGATCTCCCCATCTCATCCTGAGGGTGTCAAGCAAGACAGTGCCATGACTGAGGTGTTGGGACAGAGGAGCCTGTTGGGCTTTGGTGTGCTGTTGGCATGGCTGGTACTGTTCCACCTGCTGGTCAACATCTGGCTGCTGTGCGTGTTCACCAGCCTGCTGGTGGTGCTCGGCGGCTGGCTCGGCTCGCAGGCCGTCCTGGAGTCCAACAGTGTGGTTCACCTGGAGAGGTTTATCACCCTGGAGCAGGTCACTGTACAGTTAACTGTGCTTTACAGTTTGAGTATTAGTGCCACTTTTCACTTGTAGACATGGTTATAAATATATTATTGGGTTTACTGAGCTCAGATAATCTTAGCCTTTCTTGCTTTTGGGAAACAGGGGCCCATATCTATTTCACTTAATTTACACTTGTCATCGCTAAATTTCAGGTTCCACCGTCTGTGGAGGATGAGCAGCACTTGGACCAGGAGATCCACAACACAGTGAGAAAAATCATCAGGGACTTTGTCACCTCCTGGTACGCCACTGTGTCCTCTGAGAGTTGTTTTGAAACGGAGGTTCAAGAGGCAATGATCTCTATGGCCATGGAGCTGAAAATACGCGCAAGACAGGTCGACAGGAAGGTACTTTGTTTTAAAGACATCAGTACTGGGAGCATTTGCAGTGTTTAAGAGAAACAAGGTTAACAGAACTAGGTTTTCTGTTGGGGAATTTTTTATAGCTTGTTTATTACTTACCATTTACTCTACATTTACAGAACAGAGACACTTTTGATTCTTCATAGTTCTTCAAAGTTTATTTAGACGCATTGAAGCGCTTTAGCTTGGGACCACTTGTTAGAGAAATTCTTCTAAAATCTTGAGAGTTGCTACTTCTCTGAAGAATTACAGACCTGGTGTGGTGAATCAAATCTCTTTACTTCATGCAGCATGGAGAAAAGACCTCAGCATGGTTGTTCTCTGCCAGACTTTCAGTATGTCTTGCCTTATATACCATCAGGTAAACAGAGGAACAGTTGGTGACCCCTGACAAATTGATTAAATCAGTTCTTCCTTCAAGTGTTAATCATGTATCAAATACCTTAGACCTTTCTTTGTACAATGGTCCTTTAATATTACCCTGTAACGCTGAGCAGATTTAATATGACTTCATTACAACTCAAACACGAAAATTACATGGGCATCATCAGATCAATACATTGATTCTGCAATGTCCATTTCCCACACACTCATCACAAGTTATGGTCTCAGTGTGGACATGAGCTCATCATATATCTTATTTTAAAGTATTATAAAGTCTCCAGTATTTAACGAAAAAAGCAAGAATTAGAGAAGAGTGAAACTAAATAAGCTCAATTTTGTTTAACTTTATGTAATATTTTTGTTCTTATCTCGAATATTTAACTTAAGTATCTTTTAATAAAGATATTTGTTAAAGAAAGCAGCCTTCTGAGTACCTTTGTATTATCATATCAGTGCACAAACCACATAGAAAAGGTCTATTTTCATTCCAGCTCAAAAATTCACAATATCAGCTCAGTAATCGGTGACTATTTTCCTGCCAAAACCGGTATCAGTCTCAAAAATCTCAAATCGGTTGGGCTCTGGCGGTATCGAAAGAAACTATCATCAGATTTACTCAAATGACATCACATTTACATTTTGGAAACAGTCTTTGATGGGACATTTTTCAATCCCCACAGGAGCTGACCCAGAGGATCCTAGATCTGTTTGGCTGCCACCTGCAGGATTATATCAGGGCCAAGGAGCTGGTGAGCGAGCAGCCTCCGACAGCAAAGTGGAGCGGCGATAGCGAGCAACTGTGGAAAGCGTATTCCAGCATCACCGCGCCTCACCTCGCCATGACCAGTGAGGCAGTGGAGGTAAACTATACCAGAGCGGTCGTAGATTTGCTGCTGCACGTTTTGGTGCAGTCGCCGCACTTGGAGACCCGCACCGGACGGTTCGTGGTCGGAGAGCTCATCACCTGCAACGTTCTGCTCCCACTCATTGCGAAATTGTCTGACCCTGACTGGTTGAACAGTCTGATGATCGAAATATTCGGCAAGTCTAGCAAACCACAGGAGCCAGTTACAACAGCCCCGCCGACTTCACCACCACCGCTACCGCCGCCGCTGCCCGCTCAATCAGAGCTCGCTCCACTACAAGAGACAACGCATGTTTTGCCAAAGAATAATAAAGTTCCTCCAGTAGGAGCTGAGACTGAAATGGTAAATGACACAGAGACGGCCACACCCGAACTCTCTGTCTATGATGTTGTTGACTCCGAGGAGGTGGACTGTCAACAGAACAACGCTGAAGAAGAAGAACCTACTGTACCCTTTTTAAGGCACTACATGAGAGGAAGCAAGTCAAACCCATTTTACCAGGAAAATGACTCTGACCTGGATTCTCCTTTAGACTATAAACGAAGTTCCATTGATTCCCTGGTCATGATAGGCCATGAGGAGGGCCTGTATGACAGACAGAAAGAATCTATTGAGAGCAATAATGGCGTGGAGCTGGAGGATGTTTTCCCAAGCCCAGTGAATGGCTCTTGCCCTAAGGTCCTGGTAAATTCACAACCAGTAGAGTACCCCAATGGCTGCGTAACCTCACCAGTTCAGGCAGCCGAGGGGGCTCCCACTATCAGAAGCCTTCAGGACCTGGAGAAGGAGGGCAGTTCCCCTTCAGTAAACCCAGCCAGGGAGCTCCTTCTGGGTGTGGAACAGAGTGGGCTGGGGACCCCCAGTGAGCTGACTGAAGTCAGTCCGTTGCAAGGCAATTCCCCTATGCCGTCGTTCAGTTTTGAGCCCCTCAGCAGCCCCGATGGACCAGTCATCATCCAGAACCTCCGCATCACCGGCACCATCACAGCTAAGGAACACCGCGGCACCGGCTCACACCCCTACACTCTTTACACTATCAAAGTAAGGAGATGGCATGACCTAAATCTGTGTCTCCTTCCTCTGTTCATTATTAGCATTGTTATCTTTGCAATCCAGTTGTTCTATGGTGTCCACGTCTGGTGGCACTAGGCTGATGTAAGGCCCAAAGATTACAACCCAAAGAAATGTTCAAATACAACTTTAAAAGTTACAGATGAAGAATTGTTAAAAAGTGAATGGTTACATATATGAGATTTAAAAGACCAATATAGCAGCAAAAAACAATTTACTAGCTATGTAAAGATATAGTGGAGTCATGGTGTGGTGCAGAGAATGATGTCACACTCCCCCTGCCTGTGTTGCTATCCCAGCCTTTCTGTGCTTTGTTAACAAACCCGGTCTGGCCACATGTTCATGTTAGTGCATGTAAGTCCCTCTGTGTACAACAGAGTAGAGCGATTGAAACAGCTGTTTTTCTCATCTACTTCAGTGAATTTAGGATATGACTTTGGAACAGTGGAAAGACTCAACAAAGACAGTTTTGATACATTTTCTTTTCTTTATGTCCACTTCGAATAAGTTAAAATTGCTGATTTTGTCAATGGAGGCGCGCGGTAGCGATATTACAGCTGTTTATGGTTAAACCAAAGGTCTATCTCTGTAGAGAATCTTTCCATTATGTTGTCAGACACTTATAATAACAATCTGATCCTTTCAGTGGCAAAAACAAGCACTTGTATTGGACGTACTTTGACCGCACATTTGTCCCCAAGGATTAGAAGTTATATGGCAGCAATAGGAACCTGTTTTCTCATCTAACTCTGTGAATTAAGAGATTATTTTGACCAAACCAGTGTTGGTGAGTGTTGGAAAGACTAACAAAGATGGCTTTAATGAGTTTTATTTTGCCCAGTCTGATGTGTGTTTTATGGTTATCTGCTGGGTAAAATTACATGTATGCCAGTGGAGTCTGGTTGGCTGTAGTGCCCATTGTTTTGGTCTGAGATGCTGATTCTGTCGTGCATCATCTAGTTTGAATTTCTATTTTTATTTCAAATATTGATTCTTACAACATTATCGTTTTTTATGTAGTCCATACATTTTAAATTGAGTAGGAACAAATCATTTATTTCATATTATTTCAAATGTTGACATTTTGGACATACAATATTTAAAACCCAACTGTTCATTTACTATTTTCATCCTAGGGTTGATTTTTGTATCCTAGTTTTCAAGATTAAAACTGTCAAAATAGTCGAATTGAACTACTTAGTGGTCAAGCCTCATACTATGTTGTGTTGGTTTTCAGTATGAGACAGCGATGGGCTGTGAGAACCCCGGAAGCCTCCAGTCGGGCTCCGAGGATGCTGAAGTTGTTCCGTCAGGTTGTGAGAATCCGTCATCCATTCAGCCAGTAGCGTATCACATGGTCAACAGGCGATACAGCGAGTTCCTCAATCTGCAGACACGGCTGGAAGAAAAAACAGAACTACGGAAACTCATCAAAGGTAGGAAGGATGGACTCACCACCAGTGAGCACAGTCGCTAGTTAGCTTTAGTCCGGCCTATCTGGATTAGCAGTTGAATTCTTGGCCATTGCTTAAAAGGTCCAGTTTGATTTGGTTCTGGTACTTGAGCCAACATCCATCCAACATTTTTGTAATATGACTGTGTTTCAGGTGTGAAAGGTCCCAAAAAAATATTTCCAGACATGCCGTTTGGAAACATGGACAGTGACAAGATAGAGGCCAGGAAAGGACTTCTGGAGACCTTTCTAAAGGTTAGTGGGCTGATATCTGATCACATGAATTAAGTATTTGTATTCCTAATGTAACATTTTATGATGTTTTGGATCTTTAAGATTGTAGACCAGCATTCTGTCCTCTTTTTCAGCAACTCTGTGCCATCTCTGAAATAGCCAACAGTGAGGAGATGCAGGAGTTTCTGGCTCTCAATACAGACGCCAGGATCGCCTTTGTCAAGAAACCTTTTATCGTGTCACGCATAGACAAGGTTTGATCCTGAATATTTCATCATGGCACAGCTGAATAAACTTGACTTTATGATAAGCACATGTATGCAGGATAATGACTATAATCCGACTTTGATACGATGTCATATGATATCATGTAGAATGATAGAAACAGTTTTTCCATGGTTGTACAATTATGTTTGTATGCATGTTTGTTTTGAAAAATAATTAAGCCTCTATTGGGTTCACAGTAAGTTTGTAAAAAAGTACATGTGTGTTTCTATGTTTAGATCGTGGTGAATGCCATTGTGGACACCCTGAAGACAGCGTTTCCTCGTTCAGAACCTCAGAGCCCAACAGAGGATAACGAGGCAGAGGTGGACGGAGGGAAAATAACTACCGACAAGAAGAGCAAGTACGACTCCAGAGATCCAGACCAACTTATATCCACATATATGCCAGAAACACAAACCCATACACAGCCCTTTTGCAGGCTTACAGGCAAAAATGTAGGATTTCCCTGCTTCACCTCCACAACCTTATTTATGAGAGCCAGTTTTAATCTCCAGTAGGAATGGCGCAAGTCTGGTCGTTTATTTATATATTATACTATATTATAAACAATACTGGTCGCTTAAGGTACATTTAGCTGCTGTTCTGGAGCTTCAGGTAATATCACATATCATACACACTGGTCATGGAAATACGAAAAACTTTACTGAACACTTTAAAGGATCAGTGAGTAGAATTTAGTGGCATTTAGTGGTGATTGAGAAACTGTTCCAAAATTCACAAAAGGCCCTATCTAAAGCCAGTGTTTGTCCACTCTGGGCTACTGTATAAACATCTTATTTTCAGCTGATTATACACTAATGAAAACATAGCTATGAATCCATTTCTGACAATAGATCCTCCTAAATGTTACACACTGGACCTTTTAAAGACATTCCGTCCATGTTGGCATAACAGTAGCAGAATGAACCTTCAAAGTCAAATAATGGTTGTGTTTGTTGGTGGGAAGGCTGTGAGGGATCATCAACAAGATCTAGGGGCACAGCATTAACATCTGTGCGTTATATGCCTCTGGGGAAGGTCCTTGCAGGTAAAGTGTTACAGTGTGATCTCAGAGTCATACAGTCTTAATGCAGATTTAATTGCATACTAGCCGTGTTTCTATTAATGTCTTTTGAAGTATCGCATTAGAAAAAGTTTGATGGAAACAGCAAACCTCTTTAAAAAACAGAAAACCTTTGCAATAATGTTTTGACACTTGCTTGAGGTTGTTTTTGCCCTTTTTGAAAAAGAGTTAATGCTCTTAATGAGAGATGGAAACACTTTTTCCGTATAACTTCTGATGTGACAGATGAGATATTCCCGCTCCGACAGCCTTCTCATCGCTCCCACTGCTCTATAACACATCCATGATCGCTCCACACAGATCTGATAGAAACCTTCCTGACACAAACAGACATGTCATATTTCCATCCTCTTTTCTGCATTGTCTTTCACCATTTGACCACCATTGGCACCACCTACTGCTAATTTCAATGAACCAAAATTCGCATTTTCTTTGACCGATTGAAACTTTGCGATCCATTTGGAAGGAAACATGGATGATAAAGAGAGATGGAGGTGTTGTTTTGTGTGTGTGTGTGTGTGTGTGTGTGTGTGTGTGTGTGTGTGTGTGTGTGTGTCTGTCTGTCTGTCTGTCTGTCTGTCTGTCTGTGTGCGCACATTAATTTGTTTGTATGATCCCAGGTCTCGCCTTAAGTTCTCCAGTAAAAACATCCCCTTTATGAACGGCTCAGACATTAGACCGCCAGTTTTGTTCAGTTTGGACCAAACCAGCACAGTAAGTAACTTACAGTAAAATCTGCACTTTGATATGCACTACTGATGTTTCCAGTTTTTTTTCTGCTTTTTATACCTTCTCCTCTCTGTTCTCAAAGGCGTTTAATGGGATGTCCTTTACCGATTTGCAAGCCTTTATTACTGAACAAGAAAAACTTTCCATCGGAGCCGAGACGGAGAGGGAGGACAGTCCTGTAGGCTGTTTGGTGGGCAGCTTGAGAGAAAAGCACAGTCAGGAGCCTGGTAAGAATGGGGTGAGGGGATACGTTTTTAGATACTGATGGCTTCTGTTTAGTCTAGTGGAGGAATCATACCAGACAAAGAGAGCTGCTACTACAGTCAGATGGATAACCTTAAATGGATTTAATCAAATATTTGAATTGAGCAAAAATCGAATTGTGAACTTAAATCTTAGCCTCCTAGCCTCCCATCATTATCTCTGCAACCATCACGTCTGCTTGTCTGACTCACCCTGGCCTGTCTGCTTTCGTTTTCCTTCGTGTCAGACCAACTCACTGACTCACTAACTGTTGTCTTCTTGCTTTCCATTCAGTATCTCACCATGATTACAGTGGGACTATCTAATCGAAACCAGCTTGTTCCATATTGCAGGCACGCATCAGATTAGTTTTTTTGGCATAATGCTGCAGCTGAAGCGATGGAAACACAGGAATGTGACTTGGTGTGACAGTCCTTTTATTTTTTCCTTTACAAACCTAAACACTTCCATTAAGTTACTCACTGACAGGAGTTTAAATGCGCATCTGAACTCAGTCTGGATGCTGCCTAGCTTTCGTCAACTGCCAACTCTGTTAGCAATGTGAGCTTAATTTAGTCAATGTTAATGTTCACATGTTATAAAATTTGACTTTTCAGAGAGAGAGAGTGACAATGAGACAATATGAGAGTGTGGGTGGTTGTGAGTACAAAAAAACAGAACTGAGAGTAAAACTCTGACAATATGACAAAAATTAAGATTTTTACAAACACATTTCAGGAAAACTGCCATAGTATAAAGAGTACACCACAATATACATGAACACTACTAGAACAGTGGGATCTGCATTTGTATTTTTTCCAGTCACTGTAACATCCAACATCATAGCCCTCACTTTACATTTACAACACTGCTATCTAGCAGTCGGGGGTTTAAACAAATCGATGTCTTCTAATTTTCTTACACCCCTAACGTGTGTGGAATTAAACTTCACTGCTTCAGTTGCAGAACACTGACAACCAGAGATTGATCTATGATAAATGGGTTGGATGTGGATTAATTATATATGCACTTCCCCCGTATGAAAGCAGTGTTTGTCCAATTTGACCAATCATAGTAATTTAGAGTTTCGCCAGTCATAGCAGTCCCCGCACAAAACGTTGAGCCATACGTCACCAAACTACAATCGATTTCTTTCTCACCGTTACAAGTTGCCTTTGATTTTTAAAGGCCCAGTGTGTCCATTTAGGAGGCCTTAGTGTCAGAAATGGAATATGATATTCATAGCTATGTTTTCTTTGTGTCAGCAGTTTTTTGAGTCTAATCTTTCCAACACAATGATGATAAATCTCTGATAAAGCCACCGTTTGCCTGTCCTCAAGGCAGCCACTTTACGAACCGTTGTTTTTGTTTCAAGACGCTTGGCTCTAACTTTTTTTCATCAGTATTGACCTTGATAAATGGACCAATGCCTAGTGTTAGCCCTAACCCTTAACTGTGTCCCTGTTCTTAACTCTTTATTGGAACGTCTGTCACCATCCACTATGTTGTATCGCCTACCATCACAGCTTCTCTCCATCACAAGGAATGACCATAGGAATAATGGATGATCTCATTAACTTCATATGGAAACTATGTCTGCATTTGCTCGACATTGGAATGAGATGTTCCCCGTTTAATTGCATTTCTTCCTTGTTAGGCATCTGGTCATTGTCTGTTTGAAGGACTGTTTTTTTCCCCCGGACAGGTTAGGGTGAATGAAGAGCCTAATTTTGACCAGACCCTGAAATGTTCCACTATAAAAGTTACCAGACTGACAATTCACAGACTACTATTATGCTACTTTCAAAACAGATAGACATAGATGTCAGAATACCTCTTAACAGTATGTTGAATCATTGAACACCTAATTGCAAAATTCCTTCCATACTCAATTACTGACACTGAAGTTATAGTTTTTTTTCCATATTTGTGGTTTGGGATTCAAAATATCAAGTCCAAAATTCAGTTACCAAACATTCAAGCTAAAAATTGAGCTATCAGGGATAAGCGATCAAGCTTGAATGGAGTTGACCTTTGTAACAGTCAAGTCAAGCTCTGTCAGTCACATTATCCAGGAAAGAGAAGTACAAATGAGCGTCTGGAAAGCCCTGAAAATCTCTAAACATAAATGTCACCCTGCTTAAAAAAATATATGTTTTTCAAATTGCAAACCAAAATGTGCTTTAGGAAATTCCAAACAGAGAAATTCAAACCACACGATTCCCGATAGATTTCACAACAATAGTTATTGTTATTAAGAGCCACCTTCCTTTTTTTGTATCTGTGTTTTCTTTTTCTAAAATCTAATACAATCCAGTACAGCAGCTCAGCCATAAATAGATTCATTACCAAGATAATAATGGTCAGTTTTTCTCAGTATATGTAGTTATTGAGGTTGTTTTTTGCAGTGGTGTTGAACTGGATTGTATTATTTTTAGAGGTGGTTCTAATATTTTGGCCACCTCATTTACAAACATGATGGTGAACGCTCACTAAGTGTGACCTCAGTGCTAAACATATAGTTATAGTTATAGAGATATTTCCATGCTGTTATAAGAATTAAAAGCCTAACCAGGTCAAAAAGGTTTCTCTTAAACCTTTTCACTGATTAAGAAAACTGTGTTTCTTGTGTGCATGATGTTTAATGAATTAAGGTAATTAATAACTTAATAATTAATTTAGTTAGGTTAAACAAACAGGCTTTTCACTCATAATATAGGCTTAAATATTTCCTGCACATAGCATTGAAAGGATTGTTCTAACCAAAAGATGGCTTTTACTAAAAAGATAGTACATTTAGATGTTGTAGAACAGTGGCTCTCAACATTTTTGGTGTCTATGATCCCCGAATTTGTACCCATCAGGTTGTGAACCCATACTTGGTAATTGGGATCCCCATCTGAAAATATTTAGTTATTCCATCACTGTCTGTACTGTAGATTGGCAGATTAACAGTGAAGAGTGTGAAACCTATGAACAGATTAGTGAATCTTATACAGTCTCTGATTGGGCTAACTTCTTCTCCATTAAATAACAGTGAAATTAATATATTCCCCCTCAAAGTCCCCTGGCCATCCTGGACCCCAAATTGAGAACCACTGTAGTGGTTTCACACTGCTACACTACAATCACACTCAGCAGAACCAGCAGTGTCTAGGTGTAACCACATGAGGGCAGTGTTAATAAATGTATGACGTGGAGTGCTGATGTGATTACTGGACAGGCATTTTCATCAGATGCATGCAGAAGAAATATTTAGCTCTGAGAACAGATTCTAATGTTTGGTTTTAGATATACAAACATGTCCTTCTCCAGATTCATCTGTCTGTCAGATGCTGCCTTTTCACGCTAAACCGATCTGATCAAGCTGATCTTTTCCTGTACCACAGTAATTATTTATCTATATCATTGAGTGTTTTTATGTGTGTCTTGCATGTTGTGGGCACAGCATCTGAGATGGCGCTGGCTGAGGTGGCTCTGAACATCCTGTGTCTGCTGATGGAGAAGCAGTGGAGCTGGCTGTGCACTGAAAACATTCAGAAGACCATCAGGCTGCTGTTTGGGACCCTTATTAACAGGTGATGTGCTACATTCATTTAACAGTCGGGTGAGGCTACAGAAGAGAGAACTACAAGAAAAACTTGTCTAACTTTACAAAGTGTTTTTTCCCCAGGAAGTTAGAAATAGAGATGCAAAGATGTAAACCCAACACATACTTAAAACAAAATAGATCCAGTTGTTTGCAGTCTGCAACTCTGTCACTAAATGCCACTAAATCCTACACACTGGTCCTTTACTTGAATATTTAACTTAAATATTCTTTAATAAAGTTATTTGTTTAAGAAAGCAACCTACTGAGCACCTTTGCATAGTCATATCAGTGCACTATAGAAAAGGTCTATTTTAATTCCAGCTCAGAAATTCACTAGTGTGTGTGTAGACTTTTTGTCATGTCGAAGAGCCCTCAGAGATTCCTTTTTACTTTGGTGACTAGATGCAGTATAAAGTGTATTTGTAGTTCAGAAACAGAATGGATTTTGACTTTCAGTCCTCTTTTTACCACTGCTCTGAGGTTGGTCAGAGACAAAATTGGGTCAAACTATAATGCAAGACACTTCACGGCTCTGTAAAAATCATCTTAGTTCAGGCAGCAATTACTTGGGTAGAAAGCTTGTTGAATTGAATTATGAACTTAAGAAGTACATGTGTAATGAACAGGGGCAATGATTGACTGTGCCTTCTCATAAAGTTAAATGTTGCAGAATCCTAAATATGCTGTAGATAGATTGCTAACCCACAGTCCTCCTGTACGTTTCCTTTTCCACAACTGAGCAATACACTGACCTGTAAAAGAATTTGCACTTCATCAATGCTGTGCTTAGCTGTAAGGTATGTCTGGTCAGTGGTTAGTTGGCAGCAAACACATGGTATGTGAACTGTAAGTAGACTATGAAGGAGAGTCTAGGTATTTTTGGCAGCTTTTAAACTTTGCATACTCACAGTGTACTGTGAGTCCCAATGGTGTATGCCTGTGATTCCAAAATCTATTATTTTGTAGGGGTGTTTTATCCCGATAAGATATTGTATTGATTCTTTTGATAATGATACAATATTTGCTGATATCACAAAGTCTGTCAAGATACAATTTTGATTCAGTTCAAACCTGGGGCCATTAATCCGGACCGATGGATCGTTCAACTCCTATTATTTCGATAAGCACACCTGAGATAAATAATCTGATGTCAAGTCTATAGTTTGTTTAGTATGTTACGGTAACATTTCTCTGCCCCAGAATTTTGGAACATGCTTTGGTCCTGCTTACATTGGCGCAAAACATGTGTTATGGTGTGAGAACTTGTCAGTACTGTCTCAGTTTAAACCATCCATCCCTTTCTGACGCTTGTGTCGCCGGGTTGCGATGGCAAGAGGCTAGACAAGGTAGCTCAGATGTTCCAGATGCCAGCCACATCCTCCAGTGCTTTCTGGACGATTCAGAGGTTTTCCCAGGGCACGCCGGATGAATCCAATGTGTTTTGGGTCTGTCCCGGGAATTCCTCCCAGTTGGATGTGCCCTGAAAGCCTTCAGAGGAAGGCATCCAACAGACATCTCAATCAGATGACCAAACCATCCTACAGTAACAGAATCCTTTCAGTGTGAAGGAGCAGTGTCAGTATGCTCAAAACGTATTAGTTCGTACATCGTGTTGTCTGACCATGTCTCAAGGCAAAAGTGCTTGAAAGTGATTTTGAAACCCTGCTCACTTTCTCACCTCTGCACATCTGTTTTGGAAAGCCACCGAAATTGTAACACGAAGCAGCCTTCTCAGTTCTAACGTTGAGAAGATATGAGGGAAAATGAGAATTTTATGGATGTCCACTCTTCCGAAGGACACTCATTTCGTTCTTTTGTGTCCGTGATCTCTTTCTTCCGTTTACTGCCTGAAGCACGAGTGTAGGTGAACAATAAGAATGACACTGCATCACTATCGATGTTGCACCAGAGGGGGAAAGAGCAGAGTATTACATGCAACAAAGGGAACGGAGGCCATGTGGCATCTGCTGTGCTGGGCTACCAAGGTGCTCCGAGTCTGTCTTCTTAAAGAGATTTTACAAGGTTTTCTGCAGCAAAGAACCGATGGAAACTTCTATATAGGAGGGGGTCGGGACACGAAGACACATGTTTCCTAGTGGAGATTCCACAGAGAGGGCTGTTTATGAGCTGGAGAGGGATCTCTGGCTCATGTACAGTCTTTAGTCAAGAGAGTTGATATTTTGTCTGTGTTTTACAAAGTCAGGGGCATCACTTGCCATGCAGTTTACCTATTAACCGCTTAACAGAAACATCGAAGACTCCTATAAATATATGCTCTTTATCTGATAAGACAAGCTTGCTATCGCGTTTTGAATAGTATCAAGTCTTTTCACTGTTTCATGTGTTGTAGAGTATATGACTGTATGTGCATACATGCATGCCTGCACTATTTGGCGCTCAAGAGAATGCCTGACATCAACTCCCCAAACATTTGTCACAGATAGGTATAGCTCCTGCTGCCAGTAAACTGAGCAGGCAGACAATGTTCTCAGGTTCTAGTGTTTGTGCTGTTAGTGCTGCGACCTCACGTTCCCTCGGGTGTCAGTACCAGAATATCATTTCTTCATATTGATACGGGGCCCTCTATTTTAAGAAGTTCCACCAGCCAAGTACGAAAGGCCTTGTGCTTTTGTTTGGCCTTGTCTATATTAGGCAGCAGTCTGTCAACATTGCAGTGACAGCTCTCAGTGTGACAGGTATCTCCTCTCATCAACTGGTTTCTCTGTACAGAGGAGACGAGGTGCTCTGGCTGTGAACTGCTGTTGATAGAAACACTACATGTGAAATTGTGATACTAAGATAGCTCTGTTCATGTCAAATGCATAAAAGTAAAATGCAAAAATAAAGCAGAAATAGCTTACATAAAAGTTTAATGATATAAAAGGCTTATATAAAAGCCACTCTACTCAAAGGAAAAAGTGATTGAATGCTGTGAGTGATAGCACAGATTGTTAGCGTATGTCAGCGTGTTTTAAAGTGTCTGGGCCACAACCTTTGGGCTTTAGCCAGAATTTACTGATGGTTACCAGAACCATGCCTTACGTATTTTGGGATGCATGCTATCTAATTAAGACATGCAAAAGACAAAGCAATCTTAGTTTCCATTCCTAGCCTTAAAGCTCTGCTAAGCAATAGTTAAAGCCGTACTAGTGGGAGTTTTTTAGTACACTCATGGCTCCTAGAGGATGAATCCTTATGACTCTGGTGACCCTCTGACTTTTCATCTGTTGCCACCATCAGATTGAGATGTTGTGACAACTATTTGATGGATTGCATGACGTGGTACAGACATTCATGCCACCCTCAGGATGAATTGTAGTAACTTCTGTGATTCTCTGACTTTTCATCTAGCGCCATCTTCAGGTCAGCATTTTAATTTCACTAGTACTTTGGTTTATGACCAAATACTTGAATGTCATTCCCATTCCCCAAACTAAGATTGGTAAACATTATACCTGCTAAGCATGCTAACAGTGTAATTGTGCCTTTTGCTCCGAGCACCGATATGCCTACATACAACCTCACAGAGCCACTAACATGGCTGGTGTTAATATTCAAATTGAATCAAATGACTGAATGAATGAGTGAAACGACGAAGTATTGCCAAGCTCGTGTAGAATTAACACTGATTTGTGCAGCTCTGTGCATCTTGTAACCAACCATTGTTTTGGTTATGTGTCTGCTGGTTGTGTAAGTAGCCTGTTGTTTGCTAACATATTACCCATAACAATGTGCAGACCTGATTGTGTACCAGGGCTATGTTTTAGTGATTTTTTTCAGTATTTTTATTTTATTTTTATTTTTTTTAACGGCCTAAACAAATATCACGGAAGTGCATTTACACCCTACCTTGTAATGTATACAGTGTAATTCAATTCAATTTTTTCAGTTTATAGTTATTCTTATTAATAATTTGATCCACAAATTAGTTTGAAAATCCCATTTAAATTTTTTTTGTGGGACTGACTGGTTATATTAAGTGCTGTGAAGGTTTTTATATAATCTGACATCTGTTTGGTGGGAGGCAAGAGAAGCTGCAGGCAGCAGAAACCTTATCCATGCCAGTCTACAGCTGTAGTGGATGCATGTCTGTCAGAATTTAATTTGGAATTGTGAGTGGATGGAGAAAGTGTGCATTTGTGTGTGGGGGATGAAACCAGGACCCAACAGGCCAAATCTGGGTCTGTGTGTGTGTGTGTGTGTGTGTGTGTGTGTGTGTGTGTGTGTGTGTGTGTGTGTGTGTGTGTGTGTGTGTGTGTGTGTGTGTGTGTGTGTGTGTGTGTGTGTGTGTGTGTGTGTGACAGGTCTGGCTGGAAAAGCCGGCTCTCCGCTCCTATAAATGGGGTCCAAGGCGAGGCTCTGGTTTGGGAGATGTCTGATTTTTATGGACTGGAAAGTGGGACAGTTTAAGATGAATATAGTCTCTTTCTCTTAGACAGCAGTCTGGATGGAAAATCCAGCTGGAGCCAGATTGTTGTCAGTGTCTAGATGTACTGTAGATGTAGCAAGAGTGCAGCCACTTTATGTCAACATCACAAGCATTTGTGGGGATACTCCATGTTCTTTTTGGGTAAATGTGCCTGTAAACACAATGCTTCCTTCATTTGCCAATAAAAGGCTGAGTAAACTCCAGTTGGTGATTATCCTGAGGCAAACTATCAATACTAATGACTATCAATTACACCTTCAGAAAAGCATGCTGAAGCTTATGTCAGCTTTTGAAATGTGTGAAATCATCTCCATAAATGCACGCATGAGAGTGCTGTATAATTGAATGAAATATGCCCTTTGAGACTCCTATACCCACTTACGTGCACTGGACAACGTTGGCTGCAGTCGTGTGGGTGCAGAGAAAGTGGGTCATTGGCGGTGATGATGATACAGTATAATGATTGTAATTAATCAAATTGAATCATGTGGTTCAGATTTTCTCTGCAAGCTGTTCTGCCATCAGACTGTGTTCAGTAAGTTAGGTTATCCTTTATT